ATATATATATTGTTGAGAAAGTATTTTGTCATTAGTAAAAGTTAATTATTATAAGTATCTCTGAATAATGTTTCATATTAAACTATATTTTGAATAAAATAAAATGTGCAGTCTTTATCATGCAAAAAATTTTGAAAAACACTTAAAGAAATACAACTATAAATAAGAAAAAGTAAATCAAACTAAGCCCAAAAACTCTGAATAACATAATAACTTAAAACAATAAATGCAAATGAAACAATTTATTTATTAAGCAACTTACGAAATTAGTAAAAATTGTGGCCAGCGTTCACTACACATTACAGAAAAGAAACAACATAAGCAAACGTCTTTTTGATGCAGGAAAACCAATCAGAATCTTGTTTGAGATCTAGGTTGAAACTCTAGTTGGAAAAAACCTAGTTGGAAGAGCTACTGTTCCAAAATACAGATCCCTGAAGTCTATCTTCATTTGAAAAATATAGGTTCGCTCAAACTCAGATCCGAGCTGGAGATTATGAAGAGATTCAAAATACTGTTGTTGTTGTTACAGTTTCAAATATTTTAGAAAAAATGTGAACATTTTTTTCTTTCTGTTTGGGAGGAGGGAAGATCTTTATAAAAAAGCCCTTAATTTATAAAATTATAAAGAAATTTGTCTGAAAGTCTTATTTGATATGTGGAACCAATATTTAGCTTTACTTTTATAGATTTTGATAGGCATACCTTAAAATTGATATTTCCTTAGTTTGAAATGTTAGACCTTAAATTTGTAATGTTAGAAATTGAGGGGCAATGTGCAAAAGAAAAATGGAGCACCCTGAATAACTTTTGATCTAATAATTGGATCTTCATGTTAAAGGAATCAATTTTAATGTTTCGAAAAGGCAACCTCAAATATGCTGACTAATTAGTGCAGACAATATTTTAGTATATTTTAGTATAATAGTTTGCTCAGTAGTGTGGTCCAAAGTTTGGAACCCTTTTAAGTTAATTCTTATTTTTAACATATTTCACCATATCTCAAGAACTTTTTAAGCGAATTGAACAATTTTGTATACATTTATGAAATATGTTTATCCAAAAATAATGCCATGTAAAAAATAATTATTAATAATTATTTATTATTTCATTAAATGATAGTCAAAAAAAATTTTTTTGTAAGATAAACAATTTTTTACATCATTTTAAAAAAATTTAATTTTACATAGCAAAATAGAAAAGTTAAACTTAATCAGTAGAATAGTTACTAAGTAATCAAATTTCCAAAAAGTCTTATATTTGAAATTTAAGTTTAGCAATAACTAGGAAATTATCAGAATCATAACATGCGCCTCAGTAAGCTCTAACATCTTGAATATCTAAAGAATGTCTGGCATTGACAAGTACACAATTGATCGGATTTTGCATCTTCCCATCAGGTGAGAGCCGTGAAATTTTATGACTTGGTTTATGATTGAAATAGGTTCTAGATGTGGTCATGCATGGTTCAGCAGTAAAATAGATTAATCTTTGTTTATTGTAGTTTGTATTATGATGTAAACTGTATCTTCCAATTATTAGGCTAAATTCGTCCTCTTTTCCTATTTTTGCATTTTTATCTCACAAAATGATTTTTAATGTCATGCATTGGACAGGTTCTGTATACCACATCTAATTTTTCATAAAAAAGTCTTTTTCTTTTATACCTTCTGTAAGTGGGTGGGCATTAATAATGTAACTGATAGACATATTTGTACGGAGTTTAAAATAACTTCAGTTTCCCTGANGCGACCTCTGATCTAAAGGATGTCTGGCATTGATAAGTACACGATTGATCGGATTTTGCATCTTCCCATCAGGTGAGAGCCGCGAAATTTTATTACTTGGTTTATGATTGAAATAGGTTCGAGATATGGTCATGCATGGTTCAGCAGTAAAATAGATTAATGTTTGTTTATTGTAGTTTGTATTATGATGTAAACTATATCTTCCAATTATTGGGCTGAATTCGTCCTCTTTTCCTATTTCTGCATTTTTATCTTGCTAAATGATTTTTAATGTCATGCATTGGACAGGTTCTGTATACCACATCTAATTTTTCATAAAAAAGTCTTTTTCTTTTATACCTTCTGTAAGTGGGTGGGCATTAATAATGTAACTGACAGACATATTTGTACAAAGTTTAAAATAACTTCAGTTTCCCTGATTAAAATTGATCTAATAATATGAAGTCATAATACAGAAAGGACCCAAAAATATAAATATTTACTCTAGGCTAAAAACACTAGAGACTAATTTTGAGAAAGTGATGTTTCAATTTTTAAAAAATTAGACTCACAGAATAATTGATAATAATGCAAAGTGTTATTTCTTTATAATATAAACCTTTACCTATATAATACCTATATAAACATTTTAAAATAATATTTTTCAGGTGAAAAATGCATTAAAAATAATGATCTGGTTCGTGGCAGCCATTTTTGATAAATAACACAAATCAAGGTAACCAACTGATTGTTTTTCCTAATTAAATAATTTAAAGCAACATAACAAAATTTCAAGTGTTAAATAAATCAATATCTGCAAAATTTCCAGTGTTAAATAAACCTAAGTTAGAGGAATTTTTACATACTTTTTATTTATTTATCTATTGAGCATTTTGATTATGACAAGATTGAATAAAAGTATTCATAAAAAAAAATGGTACATATTTCAAAACTTTATAAAAAACATGAAAATAATTTTTACCAAACATAGTGGGGGCTTTTGTTCGTATTGTTCTTTTACCACCTTTTGTACAAGAGTAAATCACAGTTGCATCATAGACGGCATCAAGGTTATTTTTCAAATTTTCTAGTGTTAGATGGAAACCTCTATATTTAGGCGTGAGCACATGCTTCAAAGGCACTAAACCTACAAGAAGATAATTATTGCTGTCAGCGAAAGTGCATAAAATGCTTGAACACTTTTAGCCAATGCAAAAAATTCAACGACAAAAAAAATTGTTCAAACCTAACATTAAATGTTAGGAATATTTTAAAGTTAAGTACATGTTTTCACGTTTCTGATTGACAAAATAGCAATTTTAAAAGATAATGTGAAATTTCTTTAAAAATTGCTATTATTGCCAAAGTGCATAAAATGCTTGAACACTTTCAGCCAATGCAAAAAATTCAACGACAAAAAAAATTGTTGAAACCTAATATTAAATGTTAGGAATATTTTAAAGTTAAGTACATGTTTTCACGTTTCTGATTGACAAAATAGCAATTTTAAAAGATTATGTGAAATTTCAAAAAAAGGTTAATTAGGTATATTTTAAATACAAATCGAAATAAATATTGTAACCTCGTTCTCTTGCAAAGGCTTGACTTTTCTCAATTACATTTGGCATTTCTGGGTTATAACGAGTTCCTTCTGGAAATATCACCATCCAAGTCTAAAACAAAATACAAACATCATAAAATAAACTCTAATTTTTTAGATGTAAATAAAAAAGAACAATAAAAGTTTAAAGAAAAACTAACTAATTAAACCTTTACTGATGGAGAATAATTCCTAACATTGTACATGAAAGAAACTTTCAATACTTAAATGAATAAACTATTATTGCATCACTTCAGATGTTGACTTTGAATCCAGTACAGAATAAAATTTATATGTTTCTTCACAATAAAATCTAATTTCTAATTATTTTTTAATTGCAGAAAAAAAGTACTAAGAAAGGACCAAAAAAATTATTATAATATTTCCAGAAATACTATTAAAGAAAATATTTGTATTGTTAGCATTGCAAAAAAAAAAAAAAAAAATTCTTTTACCAAGATCAAAAGTTTAGTTGATCAAATCTTCCTTTCTCTAGCAAAAACTGAGTTTTAAATCATTTTAATCTTTTATAAAGCAGAATCTGCATATAATTCTATTTAAATAAGTTCTAAATATATTTAAAACTATCTTTTTCACTTGAAAAAAAAATACTATTGCAAATAAAATACATAGTTTTAAAACAGAATCTGCATTAAACTTGAAAATGTTTTAGAACTACAAATTTCACTTTTGAAAAAATATATATAATACACAATTTACAATAAATGAGAGATAATTTATTGTAAATTGTAATTAAAAAATGGTATTGATAAAATGGTGATGAAAAATTTGCAGAATTAATTGCTAATAGCAAATAGTCATGATTAAGAAATACTAAGAACATAGTAATTCAAATGTTAATGACAGAACTATTCATAAAAAATGTTTTTTTTTCAAATGAAAAAATAACATGAAACTTACAGGAATTCTTTTATCTTGCAGGCTATGAAGAGAAGATATCATCTTATTCGAATCAAAATAATGTCTTTTCACATAAACACACCCATGCTAAAATGTCAAAATAAAAAATATCTTAAAATTCAATTTGATAAAATACGAGTTAGGCACTTGCAAGAACTGTGAGAATGTCACATTAAAGAAGCTTACATTGTATAGAATATTCGGAAATGGATCAATGAAAAAGTAAACATTTTAGAGAATTATGCATAATAGATAATGAATATTACTTTAAAGTAAAAATTACTTAATTTATCATTCTTATCATGTAAATAACAATAATATGAAATACACCATACAATAATAAATACCACAAGAATAAATTTAAACTAACAATAGAAAAAATCAATCGGGCACCGAAAAAACTTTTACTATGAAGCAAAAAAGTAAGACTTTAGATAAATTTCATCTGGTGTGGTTACCAATTTTTCAATCTTTTTTTCATAACTCCCCAATTTCAAACAATTTTGAAGCTGCTTATTTTATTTTATTTTATATCCGCCGTTGAACAGCTGACCTAATTTTTGGGCTTACAAATACTAATGTTCAATTCTGTAGCCTTGTAATTTTGAACCAATCCAGAAAAAAAGGAAACTCCTGGATCAGTACCCCCAGAGGTATTGATTTGTTATGGGAACATGGAGGACTTTGAAACTCGACAGATTTAATGTGTATCAGTCCCCATTTACTACACGAGGAGTCTTCGGCAGGCAAGGTTCGAACTCACTAACTGTTGGACAATGGCCCAGTGTTCTACCAAACAGGCTATCCCGGCCTTTGAAGATGCTTATTTTATTTCGTTTTATAACCGTCGTTGCAAAGCCGACTCAATTTTTGAGTTTGCGACTACTAATGTTCAACTCCATAGTAGCCTTGTAATTTTGAACCCAATACAGAAGACAAGGGAACTCCTGGATCAAGTATTGGGAGAAATTTGCCTTCGTGGAGGACTTTTTGATGGAACTAACCCGCACATGGAGAGGAAGACCACGAAAACCTCCCATGGTTAGCCTGATGTCAAAGCAATTGTAACCCATGATTCGTCTACCACTGAGGATATTTCAGGTCAGCACTGTGGTCGGTGCAAGCCGGATGCGGAATTTGTATCGACCAGCCATTGCCGGGATCGAACCCCAGTTCACCTTATTGGATGGGGAATGCTCTATACCCTAAGCCAGTGTTTCCCAAAGTGTGGTATGCGTACCCCCAGGGGTACGCGTTCTTATGCGAAATATCTTGCAACATATGAAAATTTTATTTAAAAACAAAACTAGCCAAGAAAATTTACGATTACATGTTTTTCTATTGGCTATTTTTGGCAGAATTAACAGTTACTAATTCGTGTTGTCAACAGCCAGTTGTGATTTTTAACTTTTATGCATTTTTTACAGTAAAAAAAACAGTCATTTTTTTATTAGGGGTACACAGCGTTACGAAAAATTTAGAAAGGGTACTCAAAATTCATAAATTTGGGAAACACTGTCCTAAGCCATCTGAAGATGCTTATTGTAACTACTTATGGTACTTTACAGCTACTTGAACCACAGTGTTTATTTAAATGTTGTTAGAGAGAATAACATCTCGCCCACTCAAAATGTGATCTTTTTGACCAAATATATGGATTGGCATCTTCCCAGTTTTCTTCGATAGCAGCCATTCCATGTCATAAATTCTCAGGATAAACCTACAAGATCTTCCACATATATTTAATAAGTGTACAAGCAGTTACCATTTGCTTTTCTTGCTATTTAATATTCTGATTTTCTACTTTTTGATACTGTACTTAACTTCATGGAGTTTAGAAATGTATTTTTATTGTTAAATGCTTTTAGATTTCAGTTTAGTTGTGTTAACAATAATTAAATAAATTATACTAATCATTTAACTTCTGCCTTATGCTGCTTCTGTCGTACGCTCTAGAATCATGGCTTTTTGAAGCCCATGCATAGGTATACACAGGGAACCATATTTTATATACCATGTAACAAAATAGTTAAGACATAGCCAAGAGTCTGACACTAGCCACAACTCGACAGCAAACACTGAATTTTTATTCAAGTATTATTACAGATATTAAATTTCAATAATGATATAATCTACAACTCATTTATCTAATTAGTTAAATAAATTTTTACAGGTAAGAGACATAGTGCTAGATCTTCAGTGAAATGAAAGTTCACGAATATATGAAATCACAACAATCAACACACAAAGAAAAGTCACACAGTTAGCACACAAATTATGATCTTAATTTTACATTACGATGCTGAATTCCTTTAATAAGATTTCTGGTAAACCGATTTTCAACATGAATTATCAAAAATAATGCAATTTTTTTTAAATACACAGATTCCTTTTACACATACTTAATTAACACATACCTCATAAAAATAAAACCCATACAAAGGAACAAGCTGTAAAGAATCCTTCATGACGTATCTTACATGGCCAATGGACTTTTGTCGATCTGCAAGCATGTGGACAATTACCCAATCCACTATAAAAATAACAAAACAGAAGTATTAAATTTTGTCAGCTTAATTAAATAAAAATCACAGCATTTCAATTCCTTCCACAGACATTTTTGCAAGAACTGTTACAAGCCTAGAAAGATAATCACAATGCTTGTGAATTTTCAGATAGCATAAAAAAACATGTAATTAATATATACACAAATATATAATTGATTTAAATTTTAATACAATAAAATAGAAAAGGATTCTGAGAATTCTGCTTTAATAGCAATTTCTTTTCCTAACCTTTTTCATATAAAAGAAAGATGGAATAAATAATTATTAGCTTAATGTTCTTAGAATAGTAAGCTTAAAGTAGCAATAAACTTAGAGTTCTTTTCCTACCATTAGAGTGTCTTTATTAAAAAAATTTTAAAACTTAGGAACTTCCAACAAATCTTTTCTTTTCATATATTGATCCATATTTAAAATTATATTTATGTAGTAAAAAGATTTCTTCAAGAATTTTTTTTTCAATTTATGCTAAATTGCATAAGAAAAGTAGAATTTCATTTTGGACCTAAATTACTACCAGTAATGTGCCATTTAAAATATGAATAACGATGCTTATATCCATAGATAAATTAATTTCTTTTAGATTTTACACAATTTTTATGCAGGTTCCCAATACTGGAATTTTAAAGTGAAAATTTTATCTCCTAGTTTCCATGTTTAGAATCATCCTAAACTGGCAAATGGAAATCGGTTGTATGGGACCACTAAATTTCCATGTTGGTTCACACCGACAATGGAAATTTAGTGATCCAATACATAGGTATTCATTTAATGGTCCAAAAACCTAATATGGTAGACAAACTTGAGAAGAAGAAAAAGTCAAACTTTACAATTGTATGATATATGTCCTGGTACACATTTAAAGTTATTAATTGCTATTTACTACACCCTAAAACTAATTAGGTTTATCAACCCATAATGATTAAAGATTAGAATTTATTAAAATTAAGTGAGAAAAAAAGCTAAAATAAAGTTAGTAAATAGATTCAACATAGAGATTAAAATGCTGAAACCAAATAAGTAAATGAGGAAAACAGAGAAAGCAAGAACTAACAAAATATTATACTAAAATTTATCTAAAAATTCTAAATACAGTTAACTTTAAAAGAGCAAAATATCATGTTTTATTAATGAATAATTACATCGTCAGTACATGCAGAAATACCAGAGTTTATGGTACCACATAAGAGAAATTTGTATACAAGTTATAATTGTTTTCCTTACATCTATCAATAAGTGACATAATAAAAGTTTAAAAAGCAGTTATTCCATTTGAAAAAACTTAAAACTAAAACCAAACGTATTCCTAGAATAAAATTAACACAATTTTTTGAAATGCATGGATTTCAATGCAAAAGAAAAACTATTTTTCATTACTATTTTGTAATTTTCGAATATAATTCAAGACGACAATATTGTCTCCCACGCATGACTTAAGCGACATTCATAGAACATTTGGCGACATGGTGGCATGAATCCTTAACATATGTGAAAATTTGTTAACTTACATCAGTTGTCATTAAATCAGACTTCAATGGGTACCACTAATTTAAATAAACTAATTATAATTAAATTCATCATATTATAATTCATTATATACTGTGTATTCATTATATACATAAATTTTAAGTAGAATACTTGGAAATAAAAAAAAATTACAATTAATTTTAAAAACAAAACTCAGTATTAATGAAATACTATATTAAAGATTGCATTAATTAATTATGTAACACTAATTTTTTACAATAAATATTAAATTATATAAACAGTTGTTTTTTATTAAAAATTTATCAAAAAGAAAAAGAAAATGTTCCTCGTTCTGGTGTATGGTTATGTTTGCTATAAAAAAAATTACTGTTTTTGGATGAACAGTTTTAATTAAACAAAGGAAAGTCAAAGCAATCTTTATGTCAACTACAACCTCAGTTATCGACAATCTTGTTAAGATCATAAAGTTGGTCACCTGGTGACTTGATAGTACACTGTGTTGATCGTATATGCCCACTGGTCATATACTAAAACAAAGTTTCAAAAAATTTAAAACTATTGTAAATAAAATCCTATATAATTATACCAGTGCTTTGATGATTGCTCATATAGATAACTCTTTCTGGTTTTGATGTAACTTCTTCCACGTTTCCATAGAGAAATACCTGCAAATATTTTTTAATTAATAAAATGTGCAACAATAAATTATTAACAATCTAAAGATAACAATATAAAAGTATAACTATGAAAGTATAGATAAATTAAAGATAAAAGTATAACAATATAAAATATTAATCTTATTCTCAAGCTAATCTTACTCTAATTGTAGCTTTTTTTAATATGAAAAATTAATTATCATTCCAATTAGTGATTGCTATGACTACGAACAATATTGCAATGTGAAAAATATGACAATATATATTTTGGCAGTTATTGTTCCTGACGACGAATTTTGTCAAATCATTTTGATATCTTCCAAGCCTATTTTTTAATAGTAATTGATCATAAAGAAATAGACAAAATACAGATATAGTGAAACCTCACGTTACAGACACTCCAACAAAACGGACACCTCTCATTACGGACATATTTTTAATTCCCAGTAAATCTTCTATGATCTATCTTCTGCACAAAACGGACACTGCCCTAACAGGACACAGATAGTGATTTATGACCTGAAACGTTATTACCATCTCTTCAAACTGGATGTCAATTTTTTTCTAAATTTGAAAAAAAAAAAATATTTCTGCTTCAAATTCTATTAAAAAAATATGCAAGTTTCCAGCATTTTTAAAGCATGTAAATTTCTTGCCATATCCACAACAAAAAATATTGCTAAACTATTTCACTACTAAAGAATTTATACCTTTCTTTATCTTTCTAAAGAAGGGTGGGAAAATAATAATCCTCATGTAAAATATTTCGGACAGTGGCGCATCTTTTGATCTTTACAGCTGGATGATACTAGTTATGAGACCCCACGAGCTAATGTTATGCCTCAAATGCTCTCCATTCCTGTCCCCGACCAAAAAATTTCCTTTCAATTTGGACACAGTATTTAACAAAGCAGGGTTGAAAAATTAAAAAGGTCATTTTTAATCATTTAATTGTTCATTAAAACAAAACATTTAGTCAGACTTTTGACAGATGCTCAACTGTGAATATAACAATGCCATAGAGCCTCAAGTCTTAGAGATATGCATGGCTACTTACTTTTTTCTGTGCATCGTGAAAAGTTTATCGTCAATGAGGTATTACCACCTATCAAATGATGGGGAGGTGTTCGGGGTGCAAACTTATTAATTAAATCCTCTGAGGAAGTGACGTAGGACTAAAAGCACCTATTCGGTATCATATGACTAACTTAAATGTATGCGTAAATGGGGAAAATATACCGATTTCTCTGTAGATACATCTAGAATCATTTATATATATGAACTTTTTGTATCAAAAAAAATATTTTTAAAATTTAAATAAATATCATTGTAAATAGTTAATTGTAAAAATTATTTCTATATCATTGCAATTACTTCAAAAACAATTTACAGCGTTAAACATCAATATTAGTGTATCCATTCCATAAACACACAACTTTCATAAGAAGATAATTTTTTGGGTTCAAAGATTGGCTGTTTAAAAGAGGTTTCCCTGTATAACTTATTGCCAGCAAAAAATCAAACAATATTTAAATTTAAACCACACCTCAATTTATTATCAGATTCGGCAAATACGGTCAACAGGTCAATACATAAATACCTACCTATGTTTATGAGCATCAGATAATGTACATTTGAACTGTTTACCATTTCTATGCAAAATTAAGCAGATACTTATTATATTTTTTTAAAATATGTAACTATTATAGAATGTACTTAATTACGATATTCTTAACATTTTATTTCACTGAAGTCAGAAGTGTAACATAAAATAACTAGTGCTTAATTCAGAAATGAGAAAAAAACATTCTTAGTGCAAACAAGAACATGTTTGCCATTTATTTATCTTTATAGAAGTAATAAAATTGAGCTAAAATAAGAATATGTAAGCGCAGAGAAATAATTTTTCACATCTGATGCTTACCTTAAACTTTGATTCTAACTCTGATATCGTAAAGTATTTAACATTTTTATTAAAAAGTTTTGAAAAACTATACATCAAAAAATAAACAATAAATTCAAAAACGTCTTGGTCAGTTACCCTTAATATTAACTATGCCAATAACCTTAATATTACTTAAAGTGAGTTTTATTTTCTGAACACAAAACCTTATAACTGAAATAATATAATCCTACAATTCTTGCCCAAGTTGAATGGTTGGTTGGTTAACCATATAAAGCTAAACCTAGATGTGTTAGCAGCAAAAAAATAAGAAAGCTTCTAGGTTACTTATTTTTTATTGATTTTTAAGCCAAAACCTTGAGTAATAATTAAGAGTAGTATTTATCTGCGACAAGTTATTCCATCAGACTATTATTTCCAACTTTTTTAATAACTAGAATATAATGAAGTAGAAAAATAAATAATGTCGTAAAAAGGCAATTCAATGTTAAATAAAATTGTACATTTTCTACAGTCCATTTAAATTTTAGAAGCTAGTTATTATTTGCACTGGATTGAAAATAAAAAATGTTATTTACCATTGTAATTACTATTATAAATAATGGTAATGTTATTACCATTATAAAAAATATAATAAAAGAAAAATTAACAAAGTTTATTCCTGACTTTTAAATATTAGAAAAAAGTAAAAATTGATGAAATATTTTTAGAAAACTACAAAAATTACACTTTAAATGTTACTTATGCTTTAGAAAATCTGGTACACTACTTAAAACCAAATATCTATTTACTATTTATAAGCATAAAATACTCTCACTATTTATACTTTTTATTAAAATAATAGATAAATTTAGAAAAACTCAAATCTTATCAATTTACTTATAACTTGATAACAAACAATTAAATACAAAACAATGTTAATATTTGTGATAAAATGTTTAAGTTCTTTTGCTCATTAAATCACAACAGCTAGTTAACAAGCAATTATAATAACAATTGTTACTTCATAAAATTTATTTGCTTAAGCATTTCATATTTACTTAATAAGCACCCTATAGGGACTAGATATAGCTTTAAGTAATAGTAACATTTGCGCACTAAAAACAATAAATATTACTTTCAAATAGAAGTTGCAACTGGAACTGCATTTATTTTTATTAATTTTTTTCCGCTTTTTATACATTGTACATTTAAAAATAGACACATGGGATTTTTTTCAAATATCATAGCACAAATTTTAAAAAATTACTATAACTATCGGACAACAATGACTGCAATGCAATAAATAGAAAGAAGTAATTGCAAACTTATAAAGAAATTTGATCCAACTCAAAATGTGTAAAATTACTACATATCTAAATATTCAATTAAAACAAGTAAGTAGTTAATAAAAATACAATAATATAGAAAAATTAAAACATTGATAATTTGAAGACTTAAATGGAATAACATCACACTTTATCAATCAAGTAAAAAATTTTAATAAAATTTTAATAAGTTTTAACAATATATTTTTAACTATGACAAATCTAAGTGTAATATAGCGATTAGAATGACATCATTTAAGTACTAAAACATTTTAATAAATAATATAGTTTTTAGATTAAAAATCTAATTATCCTGCATTTAGGTTATTACATAAATAATTAAAAAAATATAGCATTGACATTTGGATACGATACTCACTTTTGTACCAGCTACTTGTTCAAAAAAGAAGAGAACGAACTTTTGATACACAGAATAATACATATCATCTCCATACTGATAAATCCAATTAGGTAAAACACATGTTAAACACCTCCACATAACCCAAACAATAAAATATTGAGGAACAACTCCAAACATGACGATTGTCGGCACTACCATTTTTACGTGTTTTAAACTGAAACAGAAAACGATAATTGTTAGAACATAATAAAACGTCATTCATGATAATCTAATAAATAACAGAAATGTATAGAAAAGATATTAAATAAAGAGTTATACTTCATTTTAAAAGCCGGCACTCGGATCAACGTGCAACACATAGCTAAACCGAAACTAACAAAAAATTTCTTTGCCGGTCATTGGTGTCACCATTCCACCAGTGTTGAATTTTGTTCTATCATAATTTAAATTTAAAAACTGATTTTAGACAACCCTAAATTTAGACAACAGGATCAAATGTTAGGAAAAATTACATTTTGTCTCGTGAAATAGCTTTAAAATCAAAAGTATATTCAGAAAATGCTTTTTGTTACCGGCTGGTTATCCCATTGCGCAATTTTCACATCGCTATCGATTTACATTCGTGTCTAGCGGGAAAGTTACATTGTAAATACTGTTTGTACGTATAAAATGAGAATACTTACCATGTTTTAGCGGTAAATGTATTTTGAAGCTCTAACATTTTGATAAATAAACAAACACCACAAGATAGAGAATGCATTATGAAAACATTGGGCTCACTCTAGCATTGTATCATTTCCCTGTTTTGGGGGCTAAATCCATAAAATGTAGATGCACGCAGGTAAATTTTTGGACGGTCGCCAGTGGTAAAATACAGATTAATAAAATGTACGGCATGCAAATACAAATTCTTTACAATGATGAAGCGCGAAAAAGCCGAAATAATTTTCTGTAATGACTCCGGTTACAATTTCATATTTTATTTTAGCCAACGTCGCTAGAGAAAATCAATGAAACTGCAATTAACGCTGCCTTATATAAGATTTCGCCAGACGATGTGAAAAATAAAGGTGTTGTTTCATTTATCTCTCTTTTTCTCTCTTCAATCTTTTCTCTTTTTTTCCTCGTATTTTATCTGGTAATATGGCCCACTAATAAATCTCAAAAAATAGGAAGAAAAATAAAAACAAGTCTCATTCAAAAGTTAAGAAGTTAGAAAAGAACAAATAAATAGCTATTTCGATAATTTAAAATATATATTAGGAATTTAATGAGGTAATTAATATAATAGAATAGCAGATTACTTTTTTCTTAATCATTTTTCGCTTTAAAATTTCATTGAATCAACGAATTTAAAACACTTTGACGAGCGACTTTTTTTAAAAGGAAGACTGTTTATTATATTGTAACTTAATATATATTTCACTACCTATAAGGCTTAACATATATTCTGCACTACTTTCATACTAGCAAATAAAAATAGTAGAAAAGAATTTTACTTTTTGATCCCCCCCCCCCTANCCCCCCCCCCCCACTAAAAAAAATTTATGATCTAAAAATCTTTCTTTTGCACCTGTCATATTAATTTAAATATCTTAAAATTTTCATCTTATATATTTTATCTTTTAAAAACTAATCCAATCTGCATGCAAAAGAAAAAAAAAAGGATTGTTTTTTTTATTATTATTCTTTTTTAATTTTTTAAAATACGATTTTTGTTGTTATTGTTTCATTCGAAAAAGAAACATATTGCTGAACCAGAGGTTTTTTACACCACGTTTAATATTTCCAAATATTTTACTTATTTTATTCTAAATAGGTCAAGTTAGAAATAAAAAAAGAAAGAAAGAAAGAAGTAATAACAAAATTTAATGTATGAGTGATTCACCAAAAACTGAACATTTTGAAATAGCAAATTCTTAAATTTGAAATAACAAATTTCGTCTTGTAATTTATATGCATTTTGATATTATGAAAAAATTCTTTCAACATTTGAAAATTTATAGTTTACTTTAATAAAATGTATCGTTATGGCAAGAAGCTTCTGTGTATTCACTTTTTTTCCACTATAAATTTTAAATTATTAATGGAAGTGAAATATCGGTAATCGAGTTATCTTCTAGAAATCCGTTTTTCATTAAAATTCATTCAGCAAATCCTTATTTTTGAGTACATGTACACAATCTATACATTTCAAGCTTTCGAAAGAGATAATTTGTAATTATTTTCTTCACTTATGAAATGTGTTATTATCAGAGATAAATAAAAAAAATAATAATAATATTTTTTTCTTCTTTAAAGTAAACTGCACATAAAGTTACGTACAGTATACGTCTGCAATTTTAAAATTAATACAAAATATCTATGCAAAATTCTGAACCTATATGAAGAATTGTATGCGATATAATTGCGTAATATTTAATTAATAATATTGTTACGTTGCATATTATGTACCAATTAACATTCGTTCAGGTCGTTAATTTTGTGATAAGTAAGGCCCGGATTTTGATGACATTTGCATTTTTTGCATTTTTGGACATTCTTTGTCCTTTAGAGCATTTTTTGAGATTTATAGGGCATTTTCTCTAACATTTTGGGGCGTATTTTGCATTTTAAAGCATTTTTTAAATTTTTTGTTAAAATTTTCTAATTTTTATTATTTTTTATAATTTTTTATTACTACACTGGCTTCCAAACAATGAAGAAAATTTCTAGGATATTAACAGGTGAAGCAACATCTTTTCAAATTGAAGAAGAATTGTCAGTAAGTGTGACCGTCCTTTTCAAGTACGCACCAATAACATCAGTAGACGTTGAAAGAAGCTTCTCCTGGTATAAAAATTTGCTTTCAGACAAGAGACGCTCGTTTACATTTCAAAATATTAA